TTTTTTTTTTTTTTTTTTTTGGTACACGACACTTAAATACATATAGGTTATTGGTTTAAATACAATTATTTGATTAAGAAACTTCAAGAACTGTATTATAGGCGGCAGATCAAATATGTTCAGGCGATGTTGTTATAACACATTCTTTGTCAAAGTCGTCAACTTTACGTGCCTTCTTTGAAGCTGCAAAAGCTGCACATCGATCTTTTCGTTTGTTTACAGTAGATGAGGACTCTGATTTAGCAGGAAGTTTAGATTCTGTGGACATACTTTCTGCAATGCGTCTTGCGACTAGGGTAGTGATTCCTGCTATTGCTCTTCTCCCCGATGGATCATGCATAGCCCCCGCCGGTTTGCATTTTTTGACAGTATCAATCTGTGACCCTGAAACTTATCATGAGTGGTAAACCTATGACTTTACCATAGTATTACTTTTTGTGTAAATTGGGATTGCAATAAGCTTGTTTTTGGCTTTACTTTTTATTTATTTTTTATTTTTTACATCTCTCAAGTTACCAATGAGGAAACATAGTGTTGGGATGTGCAACATGCTGTGTAATTCCTTTCAGTTAAAATGATTCGTGTAGAGAAAGGGGAAAGGATGGGAACATTTAAAGATAAATTTTATACTTGAGTGTTCCTGTTCTGAGTCGCTTGGTGACTTATAAGGGCTTCATGATAGCAAAAAGGATGCTTGTTTTAAATAATGGAGACTGTCAGAAAAGAGTTGGAAGAGAAGAAATTCAGTTTGGATTGTCCTCAGACTTAGCATGCCTAACGTGTATTAATTTTCAGGCACGATTCCGCTTTGCTTGGCTGCAAAAAGACACGTCGTTCCAGTCATCGTTTGTGCAGCTTTCTATAAGATTACACCTTTTTTTATTCCACACTTCGACAAAACTCAACCACTATATAATCCCGCAACTGTTGTGCCGTTTTCTGAAGCTGAGTCATTTTCCAATGTACATATTGTTAATCCGTTATTTGATCTTATACCTGCCCAGTTGGTTTCCTTATATATATGTCATACTTCCGTCTTGTCGCCACCACATGTATACCGTTTAATAGGAGATTATTATCACCCAAATGACACCAGTAACATTTGTGCGTAGACGCCCAAAAAAGTTATTTGCTATTTTATTTTGGTATATTTGGATAGTTTTCATCGGGTTTAAAGATGAATCAATTTTTTTACTCAAGCTGCAGCGGTCATTGGAGTCTCTCTATGAGTTTGTGTGAAACTGCTGTTCCCTTTCCAAGTATTGTCCTGTGTTAGGTGTCTTTTTTTTTTTTGCTTGTGGAAGCGGCCCGGTGAATCTCTTTGCATTTCTAGACAAAAGCCTCAATTTCCCCTTCTGACTGTAAAGTTTTTCTGATATGCCACTCAACGGTGATTTGTTGTGAATATTGTTGTCTTATTGAACCGGTCGTTGATTAGATTCCTTTAACATTTTCTTGCCTGTAGTTAATAGCGCGGTTATAAAGTTGTTTAAGGGTCATACATTTAATCTTTTCCGTATACAGCTGCTTTTTTGAACGGGGTGAACGGTATTCAACTTTATAATGCTGAAGTTGTCATGATGTTTGAAAGTACGGCTAATGTTGAGTAAAGAAACCTGTTTTAAATGTGTGAACATTCAAAGTAGAGGAGAATTGTTTCAAATATTGTCAGAGATTTAGGTTTACTGCGGTATGAATAAGAATTATTGGGAATTGTTTTAATGTAGTGGTTATGATAATTTTTGCTTGGAATTGGTTGTTTTTGAATTATGTTGCTTTTGTAGTACGTTAGTGTTAGTTACATGCTTAAAAACATTGGAAGTTGGACGCCTGGTTTGGTTTTCAATTGTAAGTGTATCTTCGACTCGTCTCATTTATCGGTATTCTGCGAATAAGTTATTGGGGAGTGAAATGAGGCATTCATCGTTGTACGTCGTTTAGAATGTTTCAGGTTTAATTAACTGTTGTTCATTTCTCAGTTTAGTGGTTTCTGAGCTTCTTTAAGAGACTCGCAGTCGTCTCAATGCTTTTACATGGATTTGTTGCCTGTTTCTTGTCGTAGATTGTATCTGTGAAGTTTGAGTTTGAATCAAGAGAGCGAAACAGGTGTATTTAGATGTTTTTGGGCACAATCCGTGTTGTTCAGGTTTTTTCGTATAATTATTTGCTTTTGTTTGAGAGTAACGTAATGAAAAGTCTGACAGTGCCCACTAAGTGCAGTTTTGTCTGGTCTACATCTAGTTTTGTGCACCCCGTAGTCTGCTGAGCTGTAAACTGTGTTGAGTTGTTGGCGAAATGTTGTGACGGTTATGAAGCTAAAATGGTCTGTTGGTTTTGACCTAAGTAAGCCGAGTTAGGCAAGAAGTTTAGGCTAAGTTTTTTCGGTGAAGTACGCATTTATTTTTTATTTAAGCTAGTACTTTAGTATGTTTGCAGATACTGAGATAGTTCTTGCAGTGTTTTTATGGTCCGCTCAAAGGGTTAATTTTGTGGTAATGCCAGTTATACCTCGGGTTGATCGATTGAAAACCTTGTATGCCGCTGCGAAAGGACTCAATTATTCTTGGAGATTAAAAGATTTTCTATCCGCTCCGCAGCACAACGGTGTCACTACTTATATTCCGCAGCTGCATCGAGTGACAATACGTTTTTGCAAACAGGCTAGCAATAGTGCAGGAGTGCGTAATTATGTGGAACGAGAGCTAGTTAAATTCGCGAGAGAGAATCCGTCGGTTGTTGTTTATGTCCTACCTGTGCGGTAATTCCTTTCACTTTTTTGGGGTATTTTTCCGTAGAAAGCAGTTTGAGTTTGAGGATGAACTGTGAATGAGTGTTTAAATTGTAAAGTTCATTTGGATTGGCTGATTTACTGAATTACAAATTAACAGTTTTCAGTAATACAACACCTACTCTAAGAGCTGAGTATGGTAATGGGCGCATGGTTCACGTGAACATATCGCACTGTTCGGAAGTGAAGATGTCAAAATGGATGAATTTGTTGAGGACACGAAGTGGTCAACCAATTGTTGAATTGGAATCTTCACAAACTGCTGCACTTGATAGCGTGCAGGGAATGTGGAATCCACTGTACAACCTCAGTAGCGAGCAAAATTTGCCAGACTGGCCGAAGCAGAAGTTTTCAGCTTGTCGCTCTGCTGAAACGTCTGCCCAGGAGTATATTGCTTCACTTGCCGAAAGTTCTGATGAATGTAAAGAAAAAGTTGAAGCTGTAGAGTCATTAAAAAGCGCTAGGTAAAACTATAGTAGTACTTGAGTTTAGCGTGAGGTCATGTACCAAGCATTGTTGTATCATCAAAGTAGTGAATTTAGGTAACTTACTT